AAAATTCCGCTCTGCTCCGCTCGTGCTTAAAATACTCGTTACATAATATACTATTATGTATAGATTACATTTTTAGTTCATAAATACGAGTATTACTGCAATCATCACGTATCTACAGTATACCTCATACTTTTTTCAAATTCTTATCCCGATACCGAAATCCCGGGATCCCGGGTTCGTATGAGTTTGATCCCGGAAACCCGGGATTGTATTTTTACTCCGGGATTGCAAACCCCAAATTAATGTTCACTTTCGAAAAACTGTAGGTTCTCCTGGTATCGCCATTTGTCGACTGTTTGATCTTTTTGCTTGAAGAGTAGAGTTGTGTCAACCATAAATTTCTGCTTCAAAAATTAAAAAGATATGGGTTTAGAGATGTAGTTTTGCAATGGTTTAGTTCTTATTTATCCGAAAGAACTCAAAGTGTCTCCCTTCAAGAGACTATGTCATGTCAATTAGAAGTTAGTTGGGGAGTGCCTCAAGAATCAGTGCTTGGGCCTGTTCTTTTTTTGTTATACATAAATGACCTAGCGTCGATCGATATCATAGGAAAATTCACTCAATTTGCAGATGACACCACATTATTCTGGCACAATGAAATAGTTATGACTTGCAACAAACAATTAGCAACGATATTGCCATCTTGAAAAAGTGGTGTGATTCCAATATGTTGTCCTTCAACATCTCTAAAACAAGTGTCTCAACTTTCAATTGCACTCTGCAGATGGAACTTTAGTTAGGTAATCAAGTAATTAGTAATAGAACAGATACGAAGTTTCTAGGTTTACATATTGATAATGAGTTGAAGTTTAGTGACCATATTGATAAATTAAGGAAAAACTTGTCATCTGGCTGTTATGCAGGCAGAACAACATTCAAAAATTGCATGGTCCTTGATAAAACCATGTTTACGTTGAACTGTCAAAATTAATCTGACTTACCATTGTCCGCCATCTTGTTTCATTGTACATTATCTTATGTGCGTAAATGTAAGTAACAATAAAATCAATCATCAATTCTCCGAGAAAAGAAAACGTAACTTTTTTAATCGTCTTTCAATTTAATAACACAAAATAATGTTTCATTTCTTTATAATTATTAGATTATATTATACGCTATGCTATACAGGGTATGTCCCGACGAGCTTACACTATCTCTTTATTGAGAGTCAGTCGGGAAAAATACATGAAAATATGCATGCTTATATTTTAGAATATGCTCTCTTTATTTAAAATAATTTCAGCAATGCAGTGTTGCCGCTTCTATCAAAAAGTAGCAACAACTTTGTTATTTCGAATAGAATACCCTGTATTTCATTGCATTTTTAGATTCTTCCTGAAGAGCTGATTTCATCGACACATCAAACTTGGGGTCTATCAAGAATGATTGCAGAGATATAGGGTGTTCAAAATCGAGATTTTTCAACTTTAGGATTCGTTTGTATCGAAACTATTCATTATCGGCCAAAACGTCTCACATGTTCCTATACAGGGTGATCAGAATTCTGAATCTGTTCCGATTAAATATCAGTAAATAGTGAATCAAAAGTTGAGATAGGGGAATGTGAGCCTCTAGTCTCTCTTACTACCCCATTCGAATTTTGCGTTGAAATTCGGTATGTAGGGTCAAAATCGATATCTAAGCAACTTTTTCAAATACATTCTGTATTTCCAACGCGAAGCAAAATATCGAGAATTTGTCCTTTTCGCGAGATCGCAGCAGGCTGGGTTCATAGCTGTTACTCAGGCTGAATATTGCGCAAGGCAAAAATCGAATCTCTGATTTCAAAAATGACTGAAAAACAGGGGTGTATTCATCTTACGTGTGTCAACACAGTAAATTATTCTTACCTCTCTATAACATGATGTTTTTTCATGACCAACCAAAAATCCACTACCCTTCCCAAGAAAAAAAATTATCGACGCCCCTGGACTATACCTTCTACCTCGCCTTTTACCTATATCACCATTAGTCATAGATAAAATACGCATTCTGGAATTGATCCATGAGATCATGAGAAGATTGATGTATCCGCTATTAATGAATTTATTTTCACTTCCCTTCGATATCACATTTATACAGGGTGTCTGTAAAAGGTCTTTACAAAATCATACCACATATTCCTTAGACCAAAATAAGTCGATTTAAGTAAAATTACCTTAGTACAAAGTTGCATCGTTTGGGCTCCAGAGGGCCTTGAAGTTACAATTTTTAAATCGTTTTTCCCATATGAATTTAAAAGGGCATATTATGCGATTTTGCTTAAATTTGGTATATTGATAAGAGTTTTATGTGGCAAAAAAATGGTGTGAAATTTTTGTCCGATATTAATCCATAGGCGTAGAACTTGATTTTTTTTAATGATTGCACCTTTAACAATTCTACGCCAATGGAATAAAAGGAGTTTGAGTATGAAATTTAGATTGCGCAACTCATTTACTTTAAACTCTTGATAAGACTCGATTAATCTCATGGTTTTCGCTAAATTTCTGTTTCAATAATTTAGAGTGTATAGGTTCCACAAAAATCGTACACGGCAAGAATCGAGTATTTCTGTTAAAAGTGTCGATTAGAGGTGTTGAAGAAGATATGAAAAAAGTACATTGTTATATTTTTCATCGAATAAAATTTTGTCCGATAATGATACATAGGCGTAGAACTTGAGTTTTTAAATAATTGCACCTTTAAAAATTCTACGCCAATGGTAGAAAAGGGGTTCGAGTATGAAATTTGGATTGGGTACTCATTTACTACAAAAAAGTACCCTTGATAAAACTCGATTTACTCTCATGGTTTTGACAAAGTTTGTATTTTAATAATTATTGTTTATGTTCTAAAATTACTAAAATGCCAATTTCGTCAAAACCATGAGAGCAATCGATCCTTATCAAGAGTACCTTTTTTAAAGTAAATGAGTTGTGCAATCTAAATTTCATACAACCCCTTTTCTTCCATTGGCGTAGAATTTTTAAAGGTGCAATTATTTAAAAAATCAAGTTCTACGCCTATGTATTATTATCGGACAAAATTTTAACACAATTTTTTTCGCCACATAAAACTCTATCAATATACCAAATTTCAGCAAAATCGCAAATGCCGTTTTAAATTTATATGGGAAAAACGATTTAAAAATTTCAACTTCAGGGCCCTCTGGAGCCCAAACGATGCAACTTTGTACTAAGGTAATTTTACTTAAATCGACTTATTTTGTTCTAAGGAATATGTGATATGTTTTTGTAAAGACCTTTTACAGACACCCTGTATATAAAATAAGATAAAATTCGTCAATCAGTTCAGTGATTTCATTCATTCATCACTGAGGAACACCATAAAATTGCGTTGAATTCCATTTATGATGAGGAAATATTTATTATTAAAATAAAATACAAAATACTCCATGTAAACAAACATCTTGAATAATATAATACGATGGTCTTTCGGTCGGTCGATTCATTATGAAACGTAGCTAGAACCAATACGCTGATTTTGCATTTGCGATTCAAACAAAGCCACTTCCAATTTGGATAGGACATGCTATTCGTTCTCGGCTAATCAACATTGATTAATTTGATTGAGTTCGTGACAAATACAATAATTACAATAATTATTAATATTTTCCATTTCCATTTCTTCTTCAATGGAAAGGCGGAAGTTGTGACAGTTCTAAATATTCCAGAGGTCAAGGGGTATCAGCTAGATATTGATTCCAAATGTTCAAGATGATCAATGAACTCAAATAGAATGAGAACAGAATACGAAATTATTGGTGAATGAACGTTTACTTTAAACCTATATAAGTAATATTACTTGAGCAGGGTCGGTCTGAAATTATTCAACAAATATATTAGTTTTGCGGATTTTCAATTTTACTACAAAACTCATTTATTACTCAAAAGTTCTTCGATGAAATTTGGTACAGGCCCGTTTTGAGTATTGCACGATTTTTTTAAAGAAATTGGCAAGTACAAGTTATTATTTTAGTGGTAGGAATATGCATTGTTCTGAAATAGGTATGATGCTTTGAATCAACCAAAACTTATGCACATTGCACATTTTATTCTAGACTCGTCTGAAAAACCCGAATTTCACAATGAAAATGTAAACAAACCTCTATTTATCGAGATATTTTATTTCATCCATTTTGGATATTCATTTACAAGTACTTGTCCTTCTTTTTCCATCACTGGTCACTTTATATACTCACATTTTATTTTCTAAAATCAACAAAATTATGGTTTATTTGGAATTATTTCATATTATGCAAAAGAGGTAAATAGTTTGGTTTCTCGCAAATTTTTTTGACATTTGACATCTCGTAAATTCGTAAATAAACCATACTTTTTATGATTTTAGGAAATGAAATGTGTTATTGAAGTACAACGTGAGTATTCAAATTGTCCAGTGATGGAAAAAGAAGGATAATAAGTTGTCAATGAACTCGTCAATGAATATCCAAGATGGGTGGCAGAAGGTGAAAATTCGAACTTTTTCGTAAAATAATTTGATAAATAGCGGTTTAATCAGATTTCATTGTGAAATTCGTGTTTTTCAGACGAAAATACGTAAGTAAAATTTTCGATAAAAAAACATCACATGATAAGTGCACTTTAACCCAGACCTATAATCTATTAGGTATTCCTACTTTGTATGTGTTGAATAAAGACATATATACACCAAATGCAGAATAAAAATAAACATATTATGTCGCATCGCATATAGACCAATTCCCTCTTATCGAGTCCGACCCTGTGTCATCTACACTTTATCCATCCCATCGATTTCACCAGTTTCACAATCGTTTATGGACATTGGCATCTAGTCGCTAAAATCACTTCTTTAATACCTTCAATCGACTTATTTTTTGCTGTTCGCTCCTAGGCGCAAATTGCGATAGATAACAATCAGCACACAGAAAACTTGCCAATGTTTTGAGTACAATATTGATATTGCAAAGACTTTTATAACAGTTCGAAAATGAGTGAAAGGAAATTGTTACTTACAACATGTTTGATAACTGGTGTGGCACACTTGCGTGTGCGAAACTTTGGGCGGCTAGAACCCCATTTTTCCCGTTTGGGTGCACAGGCAAATATAAACAATACACTTTTAGCTCAACATGGACGATAAGAAAGTGAAATGGAAGCTTTCTCCCATTCTCCCGCTTATACGCATTGTGCGCACGCGCCTTGTCCTGACTGAGTCAATATTGTCAATTGTCACTCTACTTCTTAGCTTTTCAATTTATCATTCAGTAGACACTTATTCGAACATCCACAACAACTTTCGGTAAATGATTAAAAGTATTTGTACTCTAATCAGAAAGATTTTAGCTAATTCAAGCTATTGCGGTTGATTCGATGAGGGAATGAGGGCAACTTAACACATTATTTATTGTCCACCAGATCGAGCTACTGAAACGTGAGGTCAAGGTTGGTAGAACTGATGAATCCTTGCGTGTATACTTCTTTGTTCTTCTTCTGGTGGCCTCTTTGGGCCTCTTCCTCCTACGATATCTTCTTCGGCAATGTACCTTGCACCTCTTCTAAGAGTCATAAGAAGAAGTTCTGTTGTATACTTTAGGCTTTTGATGTACGTACAAAAAAAAAAGAAGAGGAACAAGGTTAGAAGTCTGAAGTCTCAAAGCTGTCAATCTTTCTGTTTATTTTGGATTTAAAATGTTTAATGCCTTGGAATTTGGAATGATTGGAAGATTGGAATATTCTTGATGTATTGATCAACCGATGAAATTTAGGCAGGATACATAGTATATTACAAAGAAAAGGGAATGAAAAATGTCCGAAAGTGAAGAGGAAAACTTTTGTTACTTTGGCAAACCTTTAGATCCATATGATGAAGGTAAGTTCTTCCAGCAAAACCATATCCATTGCCACCAATTTTCACATTTCATTTCTTCTAGACGCGTTTCCGAAGCGGAGGCCTATCACCGTCGAAGAACAAATCGCCACAGACGCCCAGGTAGGGTTGAAATGATTGAAATTTCCAAATGTAAATTTCCAATTGAAATTTTAGAAAATTTTCAAATGGAATTGTTGCTCAAATTGACTTCGCAAGGTACATAATGATAAAAGTATCAATGCACATTTCCTCAAATCATTCATATACAGGGTGTTTCATTGGGAAAGGTAAATATTCAACTGTGGATAGGAGTCACTGAGGTGATTTGAAAAAAACCCATGGTTAATGGGTCTTGCCGTTACCACCGATGTAATGGTCTTGCACATCTTATAACCGTAACTCATATCATTATTGTATCATAACTTTCCAACCAACCTGTATATTTTTTTAAAAATTGGTACACTTACTCAATCTATCCTGTGGAATTGATTGAGGTATCAACAAATCAAAAGATAAAATCCAGGTCCGGCTTCACTTAAAATTCACAAATTCTTTCTGCCAGAAAACAACACCCTATACATTTGAATTTCCCATTTTTTTGCCATATCTGAAAAGAACATCAAAATATCTATTCAACAATGTTCTCTTTATTTGTGCCCAGACGATTTTGACTATTTATATTATTATTTTTGCTCATTTTGGGGTACAAATTGGAGTCAGACAGGATTTATTAATACATTTGAATTTCCCATTGTTTTGCCATATCTGAAAAGAACATCAAAATATCTATTCAACAATGTTCTCTTTATTTGTGCCCAGAGGACTTTAACTATTTATATTATGTGCTCAAAATATTATTTTATTATTATACATTTTTCAGCTTATTTTGTTTCATTTATACTAAAAAAACAGTTTTTTCTTTGTCAATCCTACCCCGATACGACGTTTTTACGAACTTTGTCGGCTTATATCTCAGAAACTAAACGAACAAAACTTTTCCCGTGTTTTCGTGCGGGGTCCTTTCATACAGTCTGTCCAAGATAAGGTTGCACAGCATGGGGATCTCGGAAACGGTAGGAGATACGAAGTCGGTTAAGTGGGGAAAAAGTTGCGCATTCGGAGGCTCATACCAACAGCCTTTGAAAATTTCCAAATTTTTTTTTTAGTTTTTCAGTTATATCGAAAAAAGTGAATTTTTGGAATCTCTATTTTTTTTTTTTTCTCCGTTATTATTAGAGATACAGGAAAACTGAAAATACTTTTTCATAGCAACTTTTGATGACGTTTAACGTGGTGATACCGATTTCTCTATGCGACGTTTCGTATTCGTAGAACCATCATCAACTTTTGTTTTTTATATACGGCCCTGATAATTCTTTCACAGATTCTGAAACCTGTTTTTATTCTGAATTCAACTATTTTTAGCCATCATCAATGTTTTTTTCGAAATTCCAAAGGAAAAATGCCATCAGTTCCACTTATTTTGAAGGAAAATTAGCCAACAAACTAATACCTCATCAACTAGTTCCGATTGATAGACTTATAGGAATAATTAGTTCGATTATTTAATTATGACAAGCTCCTTCGGATTAAAATATGAATACAATTCATAAACAATTCGAAGCGCTGCATTGAATAATTTAGTGGAGTTTTTTTTCACTTTTCAGTATTGAATAACTAGTCCATCAATGTTTGACACTGAATAATCAGAAATAAGTGAAACTGATGGCATTTTTCCTTTGGAATTTCGAAAAAAACATTGAAACCACCTTGTATAATACATGGTTGAATTCAGAATAAAAAAAGATTCCAGAATCTGTGAAAGAATTATCAGGGCCGTATTTAAAAAACAAAAGTTGATGATGGTTCTACGAATACGAAACGTCGCATAGAAAAATCGGTATCACCACGTTAAACGTCATCAAAAGTTGCTATGAAAAAGTATTTTCAGTTTTCCGGTGTCTCTAATAATAACGGAGAAAAAAAATAAAATAGAGATTCCAAAAATTCACTTTTTTCGATATAACTGAAAAACTAAAGAAAATTTTGAAAATTTTCGAAGGCTGTTGGTATGAGCCTCCGAATGCGCAACTTTTTCCCCATTTAACCGACTTCGTATTTCCTACCGTTTCCGAGATTCCCATGCTGTGCAACCTTATCTTGGACAGACTGTATACAGAGTGGGCCTTTGAGAACGAAACAGAGGCTTTGTAGGTCGCCAAAACCGGATTATCAAAAAAAACTGGAACACGTCAACTACATTTTCGAGGGGGACATCTTTCTAAAATATTTTCAGCCCTGCGGCGTTGCCGCTTCTAACGAAAAGAAGCAACAACTTTGTTATTTCAAATGGAACACCTTGTATTTTATTGCATTTTTAGATTCTCCCCGAAGAGCTGATTTCATCAATGCATCACACTTGGGGTCTAGCTGTAATGGTTTCAGGGATATAAAGTGTTCAAAATCGAGATTTTTCAACTTTAACATTTTTTTGTGTCGAAACTATTCATTATTGGTCAAAACGGCTCTCATGTCCCTATCTCAACTTGTGATTTACTATCTACTGACATTTATTTGAAACAAATACAGGGTGGTTCAAGATTCAGAATTCTGATCACCCTGTATCTGTTCCAATTAAATGTTAGTAGATAGTGAATCACAAGTTGAGATAGGGACATGGGAGTCGTTTTGACCAATAATGAATAGTTTCGATACAAAAAAATGTTAAAGTTGAAAAATCTCGATTTTGAACACCTTATATCCCCGAAACCATTACAGCTAGACCCCAAGTGTGATGCATTGATGAAATCAGCTCTTCGGGGAGAATCTATATAAATGCAATAAAATACAAGGTGTTCCATTTGAAATAACAAAGTTGTTGCTTCTTTTCGTTAGCAGCGGCAACGCCGCAGGGCTGATAATATTGTAGGACGATGCCCCCCTCGAAAATGTAGTTGACGTGTTTCAGATTCTTTTCATAATCCGGTTTTGGCGACCTACAGAGCCTCTGTTTCGTTTTCAAAGGCCCACTCTGTATTTCATTATGCACAGGGCCGTCGCAGGTTCCATGGGGCCTTCACCGGCGGCTTCTCGGCCGGGTTCTTCAATACGGTGGGGTCGCTGGAAGGTTGGACCCCCAGCGAATTCAAGAGTACTCGACAGGAGAAGGCGCGCGGCGTGTCGCAGAAGCCCGAGGACTTCATGGACGAGGAGGACTTGGGGGAGTACGGTATCGCCCCGCAAGTGGTCAGGGCTACCAAGGATTATTCTACTTCGAAGAAAAGGAGGAAGCAGGTTATTTCCTCCAAATTCTATCGATTTCTCAATTGTTTTCAAGGGCTTCTCCTCTCCTTCCTACTAATAAACACAATGAGTTTGACAATATTATTCTAAGAAGATGAAATTATTTGAATCAATAAGAACTTTGACTCCAATTGCACTAGGGTTATTTTGGTTCTGTTGATTTCCTTTTTCATCAGAGAAAAAATGTAAGAGGGTTGCTACCATTGTGATTTTTGTGAAAGGTAATTCTTCATAGGAAAATTACAAATTTTCATTCTCTTGGATATGAGGATTTTTTCGTTTGGTTCCTAGATACGTCGTGAAACATGTTGTACACAGTATCTCTAGGAAATATTTTTTTAGTTGAATGAAAAATAACTAACTAATGAAAGCTTGTTTCTTTGGTTTTTTGAACTACTATTTATTACATAGCTCTTTAGGCATATTGGAACCGCAATCTTGAAATTCCCAATTTTAATGAAAGAATCATAATCTCCGACCTCAAAAACCTCCAGATACCAATTTCGAATATAATCGGATCAAAATATAAGAAAACCCTTTCGCCATGTTGGCTCCGCCATCTTGAATTTTCTAATTTTGAAGAAATAATCATAATCTTCTACCTCAGAAACCCCCAGATACCAATTTTTATTAGAATCTCATTATAATTACGAAACTCGTCCGCCATATCGGGTCCGCCATCTTGAATTTCCCAATTTTGATCAAAGAATCATAATCTCCGACCTCGAAAACCCCCAGATACCTATTTGCAATACAATCGGATAATAATGACAAAACTCGTCCGCCATCTTGAATTTCCCAATTTTGACGAAATAATCAAAATCACCGACCCCGAAAACCCCCCCGATACCAGTTTGGAATAGAATCGGATCATAATATGAGAAAACCCTTTCGCCATGTTGGATCCGCCATATTGAATTTTCCAATTTTGACGAAAGAATTATAATCTCCGACCCCGAAAACCCCCAGATACCAATTTTGAATAGAATAGGATCCTAATTACAAAACTCGTCCGCCATATTAGTATCGCCATCTTGAATTTCACAATTTTGACGAAAGAATCATAATCTCTGACCTTGAAAACCCCCATATACCGGGTGACACAGGGTATCGGGCCACCCCTGTAACTTCTGCTTTCGTCATCGGATTTTTCTGAAATTCGGTACAGTTATATAAGCAATTATTTCGGATTTGATCACAATACAATCCAATATGGCGGACTTCCGGTATATCTGGAAATGCCAGCAACTTTGTTTTTTCAAATGAAACACCCTGTATATTTTTACATATTCAAGTTCAACAGGTCGAAACAAGTGCAATATTTATTTCAAATGTCATTTGTTCGAAAAAAATTAAATTAAAATTGTTTTTTCATTTTACCTCGTGGATAAATGAGATTTGGTCAAGACTATTCACAATGAGTCACGCATAACAGAAGAACATAATTTTTTCTGAAAAATTATTTTTTGTGTCACTTATCCAGGAATCAATTCAGCCACATCACTTTTTGATCAAAAATTATTTTTTTCAAATGGAACCCCTATGGGCCACCTATCCGTCTCTCTAGAATATACATTGAGGAACAAAATGACATATCATTTTTGGTTTTCGGTGCAGTAACAAATTGTATACATTCAAAAATCAACAACTAGTTTATGAATTTCCTCGCAGTTAGAATAATTTTTCAACTAGGTAGGCTGTGGAATAAATGACATTTGACATCAAGATTACACTTGTTTTGACCTGTTGAACTTGAATATGTAAAAATATACAGGGTGTTCCATTTGAAAAAACAAAATTGCTGGCATTTCCAGAAAAACCGGAAGTCCGTCATATTGGATTGTAATGTGATCAAATCCAAAATAGTTGCTTATATAACTGTACCGAATTTCAGAAAAATCCGTTGACGAATGCAAAAGTTACAGGGGTGGCCCGATAACCTGTGTCACCCGGTATACCAATTTTGAATAGAATTAGATCATAATGACAAAACTCGTCCGTCATATTGGATCCGCCATTTTGAAATCCCCTATTTTGACGAAAGAATCATAATGTTCGACTCCGAGAACCCCCAGATACCAATCTTGAATTCAATCGGATCATAATATAAGAAAACCCTTTCGCCATGTTGGATCCGCCATATTGAATTTTCCAATTTTGACGAAAAAATCATAATCTCTGACCTCGAAAACCTCCCAGATACCAAACTTGGATACAATTAGATCATAATGACAAAACTCGTCCGCCATTTTGGATCCGCCATCTTGAAATTTCCGATTTTGACGAAATAATCATAATTTCCGACCCCGAAAACACCCAGATACCAATTTTGAATATAATCGGATCATGATATAAGAAAACCCTTTCGCCATGCTGGATCCGCCATATTGAATTTTCCAATTTTGACGAAAGAATCATAATCTCTGACCTCAAAAACCCCCCAGATACCAAACTTGGATACAATTAGATTATAATGACAAAACTCGTCCGCCATATTGGATCCGCCATCTTGAATTTCCCAATTTTACGAAAGAATCATAATCTCCGACCTCGAAAACTCCCAGATACAAATTTTAATAGAATCGGTTCATCATAACAAAACTCGTCGGTCATTTTGTTTTTTCTTCTGACAAAAATTGCATGATGCATTGTCACCATAATTATGTACACCTGCCAAATTTCGTATCAATCGGACGTATTCAAGTGGGTCAGAATCACGTTCGAAAATTCCTTTACATACAAACCACCTTATAATAGGGATCGGTGGTAGAAGGATGAAAATTCAGGATTGTATGTGTTTCTCAATGCCAAATCATTATAAAATAAAAATATTTTTTTTTTACAAAAAAATGAAAATAAATATTCTGATGTGGGCCACATTTATCTCTTAGAGGTTGTCAAAGGGTGAAAAAATAGTTTTTCTGTAACCGACACAAAAGTCGTCCATTTTGATACCAAAATTAGCTCTTGAATTGACGTTTCTATTACTGACACTAAAATAGGTGTGTTGCTAGGCAACATATTCAGTTCCTAGGAGCTAAAGGTGAACTTTAGTTCTTTGGAGCTAAAGTTGAACTTTAGGAACTAAAAAGGATGTACTAGACGTCATCAAGAATAAACAACATTGTTACGGTTGGTTATTTGGGTTGGGACGCATACCTGATTTGTTTCCGATGTCGGCAGATTTGGCATTTCATACCCATGCTGGAGATATAAACACACCCTATTATAGTTTAGTATTGGAATTATGAACATCGCAGTTGAGTATTTTCGTTTTGGAAGCCTTCAAGATTCAAATACTTGCTTGATCTCTATTTCATTCGTTATTCTCGGGATGGATAACTTGTTTTTGAATAATCACGGCAAGCAATAGTTTTTTGTCTCAAACAACGATATTGTTTACCTTCATTTGATTATCAAGTCAAACACAGTGAGTATGGAGAGAAATGAATAATCGCTATTATTATTGTTTATATGCTCACTAACCTAACATTTTCCACGTCTTGTTCCTATACCTGGCACTGGCGCAATATTTGCCATTAGAGCACCTGGTCCATACACAAATATGTCATTGTGGTTGTATTTATATTGAAACCACAATTCGAACATCCTGGAAAATTGAATAAACCTGCTGTTAATGCAGGTAGAATATTCTCACCACACGGATTGTTTGTCAATATTTGTTGCATTGCATACATATGGCACGGCATAAGTGGTTACTTCACATATTTATTTGAGTTAATTGTTTCGGTTGCAGAAAAATAGCATGTTTCATTCGGATCAAAAGTGAGTTTTTTTGACTCGCAAATTTTGCTTTCGCTCGGCTTCGCTAAACGCCTTGCGAATGCAAAATTCGCTTGGCGTTACATCAAAAGTGGCTTTTAGACACTTAACTGGCAGAAAATGTATACTTTTACTACTTAGGCAGAAAAAGTTTGTTGCCATGCAACGTTCCAAGTAATAATTCGAATCAAATTGGTAATCAAAATTGACAATGACTTTCGGTGAACACAAAATGATGAATTATTTGGACTTGGACCGAATTTGGAGAAAAAATTATGTTTCAAATGGCAAAAAAGCAGATTCAATGCAATGGCTGATTTCCAAGCGTTGGTTACGCCTTGGCTATGAAACGCTAGCCGCAGCATTGAGTGTTGTTTTTTTCTGTCTAGTGAAACAAATAACTATTACGACCGATTCTCAGAGCTACCAAATATGCACAAACATTTTCATAAGCCGTTTCGGAGGAGTTTGGCAAACCGTGATACAGGAATAATGAATATTAGACGATTATCTAGTTATTTCATAACTTGAATCAGGTGATGTTTTCAGGTATTTTCCGAAGGTCCAATTCCGGGCCAACCTGTCCTAGAAACATTACTAACAAGCGGTAACGAAACAGTCGGTTACCTCCTTCTCAAGAACATAGGCCTCAAAGAAAAAATCGAAAAACACCTAGACGAAGTCAACTCCGCAAGCAAAACGTACGGCTGTCAAATGCCTGTTCAATATAAAATCCCGACAAAAATCGAAAACAAGCAATACCAGATCCCCGACATTTACAAGGAGTGTCTAGAAAAACCGAAATCGAACACTTTCGGCTTGGACTACAAAGGACTGGACAGATCGCATGTGAACCTTTTCAGAAGCTCAAACTTGGTGGTGACCGACAGGAACAACAAGAAATTTTCGATCGGAGGACAAGCTTTTGGAGTTGGGGCTTTCGAAGAGGATGACGATGACATTTACATGAGGGAAGACATGAGCAATTATGATCATGAGTTGATCAAGGAAAAGTGTTCTACTAGTAGCGATGCCAAGCACGGCGATTTGGTGTTCGGGATGTTTGTGCAAGCGAAGAATAAGCTGATTTTCAAAAAAGTCTATCCGCCACCTACGATCCCACACAGTTTCATTGGTAGGTGAAAATCATATATCTACTATTTCTATATATGGCGCATCGCCTAAACGATCTCAACAAAAATGGAACCAAAATGAGAGGTACCTTTTGAATCTATAAGGATGGGAAGTGAAGGATGGAAACAGCCATATTGGTTTGACAAGTTTCATATTATTTTTGCCCCACGTCGGCATCAACGCCTATTGATCGATTTCGTTACCTATAGAGATATAAATTGGTCCCGCTTTGAGGAGAGCTATAATTCATATACAGGGTGTTTCATTGGGAAAGGTAAATAATTCAACTGTGGATAGGGGTCACTGGGATGATTTCAAAAAACCCATGGTTGATGGGTCTTCGACTTCTTATAACCGAGATACAGGATGTTTCATCAATTTTGTTCATATCTTCATTGTCCCATAACTTTCCAACCAACCTGTATATATTTTTGAAAATTGGTAGACTTGCTCAATCTACCCCGTGGAATTGATTGAGGCAACAACAAAAGATAAAATCCAGGTCCGGCTTCACTTAAAATTCACAAATTCTTTCTGCCAGAAAACAACACCCTATACATTCGAATTTCTCATTTTTTTTGCCATATCTGAAAAGAACATCAAAATTTCTATTCAACGATGTGATGTTTATTCGTGCACAGACGATTTTAACTATTCATATTATGTGCTCAAAATATTATTTTTGCTCATTTTGGGTTACAAAATTGGAATCAGACGAGATTTATTAATTTTATTACTTCCTATTCAGTATACGTGAGTATTACATTTAGAAGGAGTATATCATATCGTTCTTTGTTACAGTCTTAGTTGCAGGTCCGTCATCAAAACTATACAGGGCTTTTCACGATGAGTGTTAATTAGATGTTTCTGGCAAACCAGACAACGGATGAATGTAAAAATTCGAAGGTATGTATAAATTAACATGATCTACACGTCTGAAATATTTGAAACAATCCGGCGTTGCCGCTTCTACTCGAAAGTAGCAGTAACTTTTATTTTTCAAATGGGACACCCTGGATGCTTCCTGAATCGATTCACAAAGTTCGGGGTCTAGTGGGACTAATAACTGAGATATTTAGAGTGAGAAAAATCGAGATGTTTCAACTTTAGAATTATTTTGCGAAAATATTTATTATTGATCAAAACGGCTTTTATGTCCCTATCTTAACTTTGTATCTATTGACATTTAATCGAAACGAATACAGGATGGTTCATAATTCAGATTTCTGCACCACCCTGTATCTGTTTCAATTGAATATCGAATAGAAAGTTGAGATAGGGACATTGAAGCTTTTTTGACCATGCAATAATAAATAGTGTCAACACAAAACATTTCTAAAGTTGAAACATCTCGATTTTTCTCACTATAAATATCTCAGTTATTAGTCCCACTAGACCCCGAACTTTGTGAATCGGTTAAATCAGCTCTTCAGGAAGCATCCAGCGTGTCCCATTTGAAAAATCAAAGTTACTGCTACTTTCGAGTAGAAGCGGCAACGCCGGATTGTTTCAAAGATTCCAGTAGTGTAGATTATGTTAATCTATACATACCATCGAAATTTCAGATTTATCAGTTGCCTGGTTTGCCAGAAACATCTAATTAACGCTCATCGTGAAAAGTCCTGTATAGTTTTTATGACGGACCTGCAACTAAGTCTGGAACAGAGAACGATATGAAATACTCCTTCTAAATGTGATACTCACGTATACTGCATGTACACGTATATGGGTGAAAATCATATATGTACTACTCATATATGAATCATAGCTGTCCTCAAAGCGGGACCAACTTCTGTCTCTATAGGTAAAGAAATCGACCAATAGGCGTTGATGCCGACGTAGGGAAAAAATAATACGACAATATCGCTACTTATTTCAAATTTTCCATCCTTCACTTTCCGTCCTTATAGATTCAAAAAGTACCTCTCATTTTGGTCCCATTTTTGTTGAGATATCGTATAGGCGATGCGCCATATATAGAAATAGTAGATATACAGGGTGTTTCAGTTTTTTGTGGCAGGACTTCAACAGCTTGAAGAAGACATTTTTTCAAGATGAAAATCTCAAACAAACATATATGCGTGGGAGCTTCGTTTCCGATTTACAGGGTGTCAAATGTATTTTGAATTTTCTCCTACAATTTTCAGAATAATTGATTGAAATTTGGAACACCTAATACACTTCAAAAACTCAATATTTGAGGCTATTGAGCGTTTTTGAATACCTACCTGATAGACTTTCAGGGTTCGTACCCAATTTAACCCTGTAGAACTTTTTTGCGTGCCGCCTCTGCTTTCAATGGGACATAGATTCAGATTGTCTCTGCAATTTGGAAACTTTTTGCCCCTATGTAAATTTTTCCAAAACTGTATGGATCTCGAGATAAATGCCAAAAATAAATTACTTGTAATAAAACCGTTATTTCTCAAACACACTTATTTGACATTTCTTAAACATTTACTGAAAGTCTATCACCCTGTAGGTAATCAAAAACGCTCAATAGCCTCAAATATTGAGTTTTTGAAGTGTATTAGGTGTACCAAATTTCAATCAATTATTCCGAAAATTGTAGGAGAAAATTCAAAATACATTTGACACCCTGTAAATCGGAAACGCAGCTCCCATGCATATATTATGTTTGTAAGTATGAGATTTTCATCTTAAAAAAATGTCTTCTGCAAGGTGTTAAACTCCTGCTACAAAAAACTGAAACACCCTGTATAGTAAAAACCATATATCTACTACTCATATATGAAGCATAGCTGTCCTCAAAGCGGGACCAACTTCTCTCTATAGTTAACGAAATCGACCAATAGGCGTTGATCCGACGTAGGGAAAAAATAATACGAAACTTAACCAATATGGCTACGAATTTTAAATTGGTTTTAGCGGGTATGTGATTGATTGTGTTTGAAATTCGAATATTTGAGGTTTTAGTTGTACATGTACAATTCTTTAGTGTTTATGTTTTCGTTTATTTTTCGAAGACTGAACTTTTTATCCATGTCTAGTGGAACGAAATGCAGTATTTGAGGAGAAAAGAATAGACAGCAATTCTCTTTTCATAAGTAAGTTTGAATTTTCAAATTTTCTTGTTTATATATTGACCTGCACAAAGGTACACACTCATTTACATTATCAATGGAGTTATCAATGATCCAGCAACAAGCATAATATAATGGGAAATTCCTTAAAGTAAACCAAGTTTGAATCAGTAAATGACAAGTAGTGTAGTCCTATCATGCTAAACAGTTTTGAGTAGATCACTTTCACCACATTGAAAAAGAATACATATACCTAGGTACCTAGGTATTCAATACCAAGATCTGAAGCAATAATGTTGGATTAAAGGGTGTGAGTTTCGAGATTCCACCGAACTGAATGAAATCATTATCACAAAGGTTACTGACATTATGCTTTGCTATATTTTGACCACATTTTAGAGGAATAAATCGAAGTTGACGGTATTGTACTGTGGTATTATTTACATAAAAAATAACTATTACGCCATCTTGGATGGTCCGCCATATTGGATTTAGAATAACACACCTTATCGTGCATTGTCATCCAAACAAAATTTCAGCTCAATCGGTTGAAGATATCTACTTCAAAATTGAGTTCTAAGATTCCACCACATACATCCATACATTGCAAGTTAAATAAAAGCTTCTAAAATAATAATTAAATAAAATAAAGAATACATATGTAATAATTTTCGATGAATTACACGGAGAAATAAAAATCTCAATATAGGAGACATCCCCGGATTACTAACCAAACAATGGATAGGATAAGAAAGAACCCCGTGAAAGGAAAATTGAAATCAACGATGATGTCTAATTTGTTTCTTCTTATCGCGAAATCATTATCGAATTTTCTTTGTGGTCTTTTTTCTCGTTCATTTTGCCGCTATAACGTACGAAAATCATTGTTTTGTAGGTAAGCACAAAGTGAAGAAGTCGAGGTTCGAGCCTCTAGCAGAGGAAACTGAAGAAGTTGACAGGGCTAGAATCAATCCTAATATAAGAGCAAAATATTTGGGGGAAGAGACACCAGAAGTTTACACGCAGTCTCAACCAATTCAGAAAAAAGAAGTACCGACAAACACGCACAAGAATCCTGAAGAAAATAAGCCTGCAAATGCCTTCAGTGTATTGTCTCTCATGTCTGATAGGTGAGAAATAGTAATCTTATTCCTAATGAATTTTTCTACCGGGTATTCAACAATGATTGAACATCACGTGACCAAAATGTGTTTGCATCAACCAACAGTGCACAGTTGGTAAATAAATAACTGGATATTAACAGCTGCTATCGAAATAATACACAGGCGTGTGGGATATTTGCATTTGGAAATGCATTATGAAATTGTTCCCGGCAGCTTTGAAGTGATTCATATGTCCACGTTCCATCAGGGTTACGAGTACCACTTCTGAAATGTGCCATCAGTAAGAAGGCATCCATTTCACCAAAAAAAATCATGTTTAATCCTGAAAGGAAAATAACAACATGAACAATAAAAACAAGAGCTCAATTATTCGTCTTACCTTTTCACAACAATGAATTTGAGATGTAGTTTTGATGAAAACTGTTTTTCGCAAAGTAATATTTGTGAGTGAAATAATCAAATGCAAGAACAATTAAATAGAGTCAAGAACCATATAAACTATCAACAAACCCAGAAGAAAAGACAACAAAGCGCTACTGATGGATGCTAATGAGCTACAGCTGTGCAGCATGAATTTCGAAAACATAAAATTGAAGAGAAATATTCGCAATACAACTTTCCTGCTTATAATTTTTGTAAACAAGGCCAAGCTATTGGCTGCTATGACAGTTGAGAAGTCAACGGTCCAATCAAATTGCGAAGGACGTGAACCACAGAACATAAACCCTGGAAACTACAGCCATGAATGTTCCAAAGTGCAAATATGACATATATGATGATGTTACCTGAGTAAACATGATAACAAAAATGTATTGTTGGTTGCATACGAATATGGTCACGTTCTGTTTTATCATTGTTGAAGACGCGGTATAATGTAGTGGTCTAGACAGAAATTATGTTAGTGGGTAAATTGCTCGCCTGTGTGATGTCTCTTGGTATTCGGAAACATAAGTAAGAGTGAGTAAGACATATGACAGATACGCAACGCGCATGATTAATGTTCTCCAGTTCGATCTCATGAGTGGTATAGCTTCTTTTTTATGACATTATGTCAGTGATCTCTTCCATGTTCAGAGATTTCTTAGTCATATGGCCGCGGATTGGACATATATAAATCGAAGTAAACAAGTCAACTGTAAGAGTGTTCTTGTTTTTTTTTGGTAATCTTGTCAAAAACTACAACTTTCAACTTATGTTAAAAGATGATGAAGATGAAGAATGAACAATATATAATTGAACACTTCACCTCATACATTCAGATTCATGGCTTCGCTCGGATTGCTCCGATTTTAATTGCCGAATGTTTTGAGGTCAACTTCCCCTCTCATCGATTGCAATAAACGAACGATACTGTTTGCTCCAACTACTTGTTGCTATCTGTGAAAGCTCCAGCTCCTCGGCATTCTCTGTTACTCCAGGTAGTGAAGAACTTGGCAGCCTTGAAGGTTTGATTCGAATAGATCCGGCTCGAAGGACCAATATGTTCGATGCTTGATAGATAGTTGACTGTATTTGTATGGTTCATATTAGAATTGCAAAGGGTGATACGAGTAACAAACTATTATACAGGTGCATACACGTACTAAACAGATACAGACTAAAATATATGGTCGATTGTAGATTCGTGTCCGCATCCCAGAAGGAAGACGTGACCGACATCTTGGAACCGGTGGAGAAAAGCGAGACCACTCACGGCACCAAGGACATGCGTGAGGCGGCCAGGATGAAGATGTTCGGCCGGTTGACGAGAGTGACCTTGGATTGGCGGCCGTGTTCGTGTCTCTGCAAGAGGTTCAACGTGCCGGAACCCTTCATGGAGTAAGTACCTCAGACTAAATAATTATATGTAGTATGCAATTACCATTGAAACAATAAGCTTTTATTTCAGCAATAATTACAAGAAATTTCTCAAACTGTCAAAACTGACGACTATTGGTCTTCCTCTTGTCCTCTTCCAAAGATCAAATGATTCATTAAAATGTATACATATGCCAACAATTATAAACGCCAAACACGGATAAATGAATTATTGGTATTCTTCATAGATATATTTTATGTATCTAATTAATCGGAATTTCGATAAATGTGTGTATGTACAGGGTGGCTGGAATTCGAGCCTTATCATTGGGATCTCGTAAACCGTAAGAGATACAGAGTCGGTTAAATCATGGCAAAGTTGCGCAATTTGATGCCTTACAAAATGGCGTTCTAAAACTTGGAAAATTCCGAATACTTCCGGAGATATCCGAAAAAAATCGGAATTTCATAAAACCGTTTCCATTTTTTTCTAGCGTTATTTGAAGAAATTAATCGATATGGACAACAATTTATCATAGCCACTTTTTCTTGCCTACAAGATGACGTTTTCAAATTCCAAATCTGACGTTTCGTCTTCCAGAAACCATCAACTTATTTTTTCTCAAATACGGACCTGGATTTTTATTTCATTTTTTGTTACCTTTGGATAGCTCTAAAACTACGAGTATATGAATATTTTGAAAAAATAGAGAAACTGTCAATTCTTGTCATTGCAACATTCGAAAATCAAAATTTATGAGCTATCCAAAGATAACAAGAAATGAAATAAAAAATCCAGGTCCGTATTTAAAAAAATAAGTTGATGATGGTTTCTGGAAGACAAAACGTCAGATTTTGAATTTGAAAACGCTATTTTGTAGGCAGGAAAAGGTGGCTATGATGAAGTGTCATTTATATTGATTAATTTCTTCAAATAACGCCAGAAAAAAATAAAAACGGTTTTATGAAATTTCGCTGTTTTTCGGATATCTCTGGAAGTACTCGGAATTTTCCAAGTTTCAGAACGGCATTTTGTTAGGCATTCGGATTCCACTATAAGCTGTAGGTCCCGCTCTTCCTAACCCCGCACAAGTTTCGACTTCTGGGGAGTTGGTTCCCAACTTTGAAGTAGCGATATACAAATTTTACAATTTTTTTTTTTTACAAATTGCGCAACTTTGCCATAATTTGACCGACCCTGTATCTCTTACGGTTTACGAGATCCCAATGATGAGGCCATTAATCAATCAACTCTCACTTACACTACACTGTTTTACCACTAACCAAACCGATTTTTTAACGCCTTGACACGTGTTTCGCTAACTATGTTAGCATCTTCAGGAGAAGATTGAAACTCTCGCTTGTTATAAAATGATAATAAGTTATTTAGTAACGTCTCACTCGTCTCAGTGAGGTTATTTGATATTTTCAATATTTTAAACAGGCTTAAAATGTCATTGCAAAGGAAAGGAAGCGTTTCCAGAATTGTTATAGAAACCGATTAATATCTTGCACTTTTATCAACAAAAAAAAAAAAAAAATTGCCACCATCAACTAAATAGTACTAACTTTTATTATTGAAGTGACTAGTTTATTTGTCACTGTAAGAATACACGTCACTATTATATTTTGTTGCAGTAGACCAGAGGAAAAAAATAGGAAGAGAACTAAAAACCTAATTTTCGAAAACCAGAAACATGTGGAAGAAAGCATTGATTCATTCAAACCGGGCGTTACATCAGTTGCCACAGAAACAAAGGAAGAAAAAGGAGAAGAAGAAGAAAAAATGCCAGACTCCAATCAGGCAGCAAATACAGACACCATCGAAACTCCCGAAATAAAAATAGAAATTGAAGAAGCATCCGAAGACAACAAGAACGAAAATGAAACCAAAGTTGAGCCAGACTCAACTCCCAAAGATATCACCGATAAAATAGGGATAGAAGAAAAAACGGATCTCTTCAAAGCCGTATTCCTAAGCAGCAGCGAATCAGAAGACGAAGAAGAAGAAGAAGCGACCAAGAAACAATCTGAAAAAGAAAAAACCGAGGAATTCAAGGAAGCCCTACTGTCCGATCAACTCATTCCCAAAATCAAACCACTTAAAGAGGGAATTTTATCCAATCTGAACTTCCACCAGTTCAGCATCCCAAAACCACCTGTAGAAAAAATTGAGGCTCCTGAAACTGACTCAACTACTGCGGACTCGAAAATTGTGGATTCCTATGGACCTCAGTTGCCTAGCGAAAAACCAGCGGGAAAAACTTTGCAAATTTTCAAAGCTAGTTCTGACAGCGACGACGAATGGATCGAAAAAGATGATCAAGAAAAGAAGAAGAAGAGTAAACATAAGAAGAAGAATAAGAAAAAGGACAGGCATAAACATAAGAAAGACAAAAAGAGTAAGAAATGAGTCTAGTCATAGATATATTTTAAGCTGTATTGATTTTACCATTGCATGGTTACATTGTGGAGTCTGTGATATTACAAAACAATTGGAAGTTGGAGATATGTTCATTGAATGATGACCTTGAGCGATAAGTTGCCTCACGAAGTTGCCTGAGATTGAGGCATTTTTCGTTTTGAAGTTGACAACAAAAAAAGTCGAATGTTATGAATGAAATCGGACAAATGATACTGAATTTGACGGTAGTTATTGCTGTTCACACGGTACAATCACACAAAATAATGCCTCTTTTCAATAAAGTTCTTTACTCAACCCTTGTCTATCCTTTTCCATCTCTCTTAGGTGCTACCTAGGGTCCCTTGATGCAAACTGGCGTATTTGTCTTCTTCCTTGCCAGGTGGCGTTCGGCGTTCGCGTTTTCATTTCGCGGACTTCGAACGCCTCGTATGGCGTATGGGTCAGGTTCGCACCAGATAGCGGTCAAGAAGCTATCTGGGACAGCCCTGCACTGATGAGAGCCTAACAGCTCAAAAGCGGTCTGCAGGTAGTCAGCGTTCCTGAACCACTTAAGCGCAGCTCAGCGTTTAGGAAGGAAATACTTATTCGTTTATACTTTGTTGATACGAACTATCGCACAGATTTCGGAAGGATGTAATGCAATGTACTGCGTGGCATATAGCCAGGAAAGTAGTTGTTTTTCTCTCGTTATCTACCATTATCGTTCATTTTATGAACTAGTATGTGGTAATGACTTTGAGTTTCTCTCTTTGTGATCTAACAGGGTACGGACATATCCTCGTCTCCTCTCACTCTAAAGTGTTTGTGAAACAGTTATACCGGGTGGCTACGGAAGTATTGCCTACGGAATATCTCAGTTATTGTATGAAGTAGGTTTGTGAAATTTGGAGCGTCGATATAATGACATAAGAGCTAGAATTTGAGCATATCGACATGTCGAAATTAACTTCCGGTCTGACCGGAAGTAACATCAACTTTCCTATTTCAAATGGAAACCCTATTTTTTTTCGCTTTATTCAGCATTCAATTCGCTTTCTAATGACATATATGACAAGTTGGTATCTAACCAGAAACTAGATCAGAAAAAAATTATTGAAATTCACCGAGTAGGCCGTGGAAGCGTATTTCATTTCAAAAAATGACTTTCTTTATATCATTAGAAAGGAATGGTTATGCTGAATAGTACAGGCAAGAAAAAGTTGTATGTTCCTATTTAAGTTATGGACTTACAGAGTACCTATTGTTTTTTTCCCAATTTTTCCAATATTTTTTTTGGTTGCTTTTTATAACGCCGACGAATGAAAATAAAATATCACAGTAGTAGCAACTGTTATGAAGTGACGTATGGTTTCCATAGCCAACTTTTCAATTTTTGCCTTTCATTTTGCTTCCACGGCCTACTCGGTGAATTTCAATAATAAGTTTTTTCTGATCTAGTTTCTGGTTAGATACCAACTTGTGATATGTCATTAAAAAGGGAATTGAATGCTGAATAAAGCGAGAAGAAAAAAAATAGGGTTTCCATTTGAAATAAGAAAGTTGATGTTACTTCCTGTCAGACCGGAAGTTAACTTCGACATGTCAATATGCTCAAATTCTAGCTCTTATTTCATTATATCGACGCTCCAAATTTCACAAACCTACTTCATTCAATAACTGAGATATTCCGTAGGCAATACTTCCGTAGCCGTAGCCGTAGCCTATCTTTATTCATTTCTGGGGATAAACACTAGATTTCTGACATTTGTTGTTTTTTAGGTTATATTGAGGACATTGGCGTATCACACGTGATTTCCATATGTAATTTCTCATTCAACTCTACATATTATATCCGAAATCTTTGTGAGGCAATGAGCAAATTTTTCTGAAAGTTTAATACGTTTTACCAAATGCGACTGTTCTTAGGCAGTACCTATCAATAAATAAATTTTGATTTCAGACTAAGCCTTATGGTTTAGAAATGGTGACAAATTTTACGTAGGTATTTAAACTAAGGTGCTCTATGTCATGTGTGCTGTATACAGGGTGTTATTTAAGTACGTGGCCAAACTTGAAGGGTTGATTCTTTGAGTGATTCTAAGACGAAAAGTTCATATAAACATAGGTCCAGTAATGCTTCGTTTTCAAGATACAGGGTGTCAAAATTTTTAAAAGAAATCGTTTTTTTCGTAAATATCTTCCCAGCAAACACAATTATGTAAAATTGACATAAGTGTTACATAACTGACAATACGTGTTATGTAACTATGTTATGTAAGACTTACATCACTGTTATGGCGAAATGTCCGCCACAAATACTACATGATTATTACGTAACAATTATGTCACTATTTTATATATATTTTATATAATTTCATTGCTATAAATAAGATGTTACGTATATAACAAACTGACATAAATATTACATAACATTCTCTAGATGTTATGTAAAATTTACATCCCTATTATGTAAAAATGTCAGCTACAAATATGACTCCATTTTAATATAATATTGATGAAACTACTTGACTTATATCCGAAATGAATATCGGAATTTCACGAATAACCTCTTCACTTCACTAACTCACTTCACAGGCATATGCACATATTGATAACTAAGTACGATCATCTCAGTAGGTGATCCAAACTCTACACTCCATAATATCTATACTGATATTACTGATGATGATATATGGTTATAGAAATGTGCATGAGAGTTGGAAGTGGGCTAGTGTGAAAAAGAAGTTATTTGCCAATTTTTGATTGTGTGGGAAAATGTAACAGAGACAGATTAGTCATAAAATGCTTGATGGTTTATTATCTCCTATACCATTCAGTATTCACTTCAATTCTCCTCATGTACAAAAAAACTCTGCTCGAAAATTTTTAAGACTTTCTGTTCCCAATATTATGCATTATAGTACACAGTATAATTGATCAGTTGCTAACTTTAAAACAAAAAAATTGACAAAAAATTATAGACTGAAGATATTATAGACTGAATAATCTTCAAATCGAATAAAATGGAATGTCCTGAATAGAAGATGATAAAACAACATCAACTATCAAATGAAAAACATGACCTTTATTTTTCTTTGAAAATAGTGAGACCTTTTATGTATACTTCAAAAGTTCAAAAAATCAAAATTGTGAGTAATCAAATTATATATTTCTTCTTGATCTCCCAATTCAACCCTCCATTTAACCTCTGGTGACTAAATCAGAACCACCTTCCTGCTGGTTTATCTATCAGAGTAAGATATCGAAGGGTGTGTGATAATGATGGAGTCTGAAAAAATTATGCTTTGTTTTTCATTTTTCAAATTAAAATCTAAAATATATATTACCAGGTAATGATATTTCGATTGATTTCAAATCTATGACTTCAATGTTTCCCCTCTGCCCTCACCAGGAACATTGTGTGGCCCCTATATAGATAGTCTCTCCCATCTTTATCACCTTGAGTTTTGAAAAGATGTACCTACCTGGAAAAGTATACATTTCAGGATTCATCTTATTGGGGCTCTTCATGAACTAATTTATGAAACAAAAAATAATAATCACTGACAAAATGATTAAATTTCCATAACCAATAATAATAACTTAAATCCAGAATGTGAGGCACTTTGGGGTTTTCACTGGGGTTTTCATCAGCCGTCATAATCAATCACTGGCTTTTGTTCAATTTTCATATGAGAATTGGAGTTTGACCAGATTATACCTCGGATTCTATCAATACCTACAAGATTCATCTATTCTAGGCATATTTAAAAGGTCCAGGATAGATATGTAACTATTTCTTTCTTGTTGTTTTCACAGAGGTTAGGAAAATCTCAAGGCATGTTTTATTCTCACTCACTTCCACTTATTCTTATTAACACTTTTAGTTCAGTTTAATTCATCAAACACAGCAGGTAGAAACAAGAAAAACACTCGAAATAGTTATAAAATACCGAAAATGCCTTCAGTGTAGTTTGTTTATGGTCTCGTCTTCACTTATAATTATAACTCATAACCTCAAAGTAGTCGACCAATAGGAATTGGGCATGTGGGATGGGGGACCACTGCAGCGCAGAAAATTGGTGGAAACAAGAAAATCACTCGAAATAGTAAGAAAATACTGAAAGTGCTTTCAGTCTCCAAGTCTTCACTCATTACTTATAACCTCAGAGTGGTCACGGAGAAACGCTACAGTGCGAGAGCGAAAAATAATAATCATCGCGGTGGGGGAACATTACAGCGCGAGACTACGGGTAGTGATCATCCCAACGAATATCCTTAATTGACGCAGAATCAAGTCTGCAGAGAATTTACGGCCGAGAGTCCTAGTAAAGTCATGTAGCTATCATATAAGCTTTTATATTGATATCAAATTGTCACATATCATTTACATCATAGTTACGTTACATTTTTATATAATTATGGGGTTCACATATTTCAGAATTGTTACGGAATATTTACGTAAATATTTTATATAAATAGGAGGTTCACATATTTCAGAAGTATTATGGAATATTTACGTAAATATTCTATATAAAAAAGTTCCGTTGATTTTATATAACAGTGATGTAAATATAACAGATGTGTTTGCTGGGTTAATAACCCTTCAACCGATTTCATTGAAATTTGGCAGTGTTATTCAAGGTCGTAAAATGGCTAATTTAACCCTAACTATATCAAAATTATCATGTCCAGTGGCGTCCCGGAAGGCACTGTAACCAATATTTTTGACAGAAAAAATGTGCGCCACTGATTTTTTTGCAATTTTTGTATTTGTTTCACATTGAGCAACTAAAATTACAACTTTTTTATATCTAGAATTTTTTTCGTATCTTGCTTTGTTTTTGAGAAAAAACATAAAAATCACTTCATTGCACATCCCTGTGACAACACAATAAAACATTTCAACTACTAAACCATCAAAAACTGGGGTCTTACTAATATTCATTCAGGAGCGAAATGTACTTGAATTGATTATTTCAGTACCAAAATGTTACCAAAGTCATCTATCAAAATGACACATGTATGAAATTGGAATGGAAACAACTTTTCTTCGTTAACTTTGTAGAAATCTGAACAAATGAAGCCTATTTTCAGTAATTAATTTTAAAAAAATTGAATTTTCGACATAGTGACTTAACGTGACTCCGACCTTTTAATACGTCTCCCATGTGTATGTATCATCTACCATGAATAATGAAATATGCCATTGATAGCATCTGGATCCATATTGTGCTAGAAATGAGCTTCATCTGATAGAAAATAGCTGAAATGATTTATGACATTTGACATCATAGATAGTTCAGTGGCATAGACTAGATGGTAGACAAAGAAAGCATTATCTTATCAGACTTCTCTATCTATATTTTGAAAGTGTCCTTGAACTTGTTTGTAGGCATGATGAAGCTTTTTAATTTTAATGCTATTGATATTCTGTTATCTAATGATTATTATTCCTTTTTATAATATCACAGGATCCTGCTGAACCTATCAGTAGAAAAATCATTATCAACAATATTTATTAATTATTGACCTTACATTGTTTCCATATACCTACCTACCAAACGGAATTATAAACATCTCATACCAAACAATGGTTACCAAATTAATAAACTATTGAACAATCAAAACATAAGAAATGGAACATCCTATGTCATTTTTGAAAAATTATTAATTTAATTATAATTATTTGTACTTGTACCAAAATTGGTCTGCTCTTGATATGGAATCCTCAATGGATTTATAAGAAATTATAAAATTAACATCAGAAGTAGGATCAATTTGAAGTATTTTTCCTTATATTTTCAGCTGCTTGTAACCTTATAGTTGGGACATTGCATTTTTTTTAGATTCTCCAAACAAGTATTTCATCAATCATAAATTTATTTGGGTCAATATCATAAATATCACTTATTTTTTACTTCATTTCAAGTACAGATGACATCTTATTTCTTCAAGATACTATCTATCCATAGATTGAGTTTGTCTTCATCTTGTAATCCAACCAGCCTCTCTTTGACTTTTCCATTTTCAAAAACTACTAGGGCTGGTATTGTGCTCACCTGAAAAAAAATTTATCCCTCATAGTGTCTTACCTTTCAATATTTCTTATTTTAACAAAATTGAATTACAAGAATATAGACACTCTTAAAATTGATTCCCAAATTGCTGATGAATAAAATTTTTAAAAGTATCACCTGGTATTTGGCTGCTAATTCTCCCAAATCATCTATATCGACTTTGGCAAGAGATATCTGCCCCTTTCTTTGAGCAATTATGTTCTGCAGCCTTGGTTCCAGGGCTTTGCAGGGGCCGCACCAGCTGTTGAGCAAATAATAATTAGTTCAAGTGAAAAATACTGTGAATGAAAGAGCTTACTTGGCGAAAAAATCTACGATAATTGTATCTTTGCTATTTTCAACTTTTTCCAAAAAGTCCTTGTCATCCTGAACCTTGAATGAGCCATGGTTTGGCTGTGATGTTGCTATGGACCTAAAAGCTGGGGCTATGATGGAAATTCTGTTGCAGATTGTAGGGCGGAATAATGAGTTCATGATGAATACTGTGAATTTTATTACTACGCGCTAGATTATTATTTTGTGTAAAATGACGGTGGATATTTTTATTTTAATAGTTTTAAGAACAATGTGAAGGGTGAGGGGAAGGGAAGGACAGAACTAGAGGTGAGTGATGTGACAGAACTGTCATGAAAATCAAAAAGCATAAGTGGATTGTCAAAATTCGAAATGTTTTCTTCTTCTACGTTTTTTAGCTTCTTATCCAGAATTGGACATACAGCCAGGTGGGTAATGTCAAAACATTTCTTTCACACAATGGTAACGGTGCTTGAAGGTTGTGGGTGAATTTATATTCGGCTTAGACGCTTAGGCCAAGAAGAACAAGAACGCAGCTAATCTAATCGGTTGGCTTCCCTGATAAGATGATGAGAACTAGAAGTAAACATGAGCGTGACAGTTTTGAGGTTATGAGTTTTCTAAACGATTTGATTTGAAATGTTTTTTAATGGAAATTTGTTGATTCTATGTGTATAAGAACGAATAATTCAAATTGAGGAGGTTTATTTCTCATGCATTAAACTCATACCACAAGATTTTGTTCTTTGGAACAATTGATTTGACCGGGCATTCTGCTACTACCTTTTTAAGCAATGGAAGAACCCAAATTAGTTGATTTTTCTGTTATCAAACAAAAAATCATAAAAACTGAGTAAGTATCAACTATAATTGAGTAATCTAAATGTTGATGTATTTTTTATTGTAGTGAAGTACTGCAAATGTATCTAGAAACCGACAAAAAACTAAAGAAAGCACAATTAGTTATTAAAAACATGAAAAGCAAATATGATCAAGCTAACAGTAGCCTCAATCGTGTCCAGTTAGAATATGAAAGGTGTACCTACACTTTGGAATCCACAAAGTCAAAATATGATGATCTGCAGGTAGAACACCAGCAAATGATGGAACAAAAATCTTCACTTGAACAGAAATATAGCAGTCATCTGGTTGATTCACAGTCTTCAATATTGGAACTTCAAGATGAATTGAAAATGATGAGAGATTTGACTGCCAGTGCAGAGAAATTGTCTTCATCACCTAAGAAAAAAACTGTGTCTGATAATAATTCAAACAAAAAGTTTAGGGACTTGGAAGTAAGGTTCAAAAGGATTCAGGAAAGTGAACAAAAGCTTAGAGAGCATAATGAATCATTGCTTCTAGACAACAAACAAATCATAGAGGAAATTACAAAGATGAAAATTGACCATTCAAGAGTGGTTGCTCTCTTACAGCTTGAAAAGAGCAAGATAGACCATGACTTCAAACAATTACGCTCACAGGTAAGCCACAAGGAAATTATACTCATTTTTTCCACTTCTAATTCAATCGAGGGGTAAATCACTGGGGCAGTCCGGTGTACATTCTTTTGGCAGTCCGGTGGCAGTCCGTGGCAGTCCGGTGGCAGTCCGTGGCAGTCTGGTGGCAGTCCGTGGCAGTCCGGTGGCAGTCCGTGGCAGTCCGGTGGCAGTCCGTGGCAGTCCGGTGGCAGTCCGTGGCAGTCCGGTGGCAGTCCTTGGCAGTCCGGTGGCAGTCCGGTGGTAGTCCGGTGGTAGTCTGGTGGTCTCTCGTCTCTTCTCTCGTAATCCGACAATTATTCTAAATTTGAAAATTCAAGAGGGCGTTCGCAAGGTGGCGGCGACTTTGTTATTTATTCTCTGATTAACCTGAAAATGTACACGTAGGGGTTCTCGAGATTGGCAATTTCGAATTCCGAGTCCAAATTTTGAAAAACAAGATGGCTTCTGTAGGGAGGCGTCAGTTTTTTTCATCTCTTGGAGCGCACGAAAGGTAATTCCTATAATGGGGAAAAGAAATCAGATATTCTTGGAGTATATAATCATGATTTTCGAGTTAGTTTTGAAATTCTAGATGGCGTCTACAATGGGACGGAAAACTTTGTCATTTATTGTCCGAATCGCCTGAATAAAAAAAGTTCACCTTGGGGATCTCAAGCTCCAGAGTTGAAACCCACGCAAATTTTGTGTATTATGGACTGCAATTGCGCGCAGCGGTCAGTATTCTCAACAGTGTGTCCAAATCTCGGTCCTAATCCTCGTCCTTATCCCATAGTGCAATTGCACGCACGGCCCAAAAAGGTTATGCTGTAATTGCGCGCAAAGTAGGGAACATATAAAACGGTAGTTTAATCAAGTTTCATATGTTTTGAACTCATTCCAGGACATAAAATATAATCATTTCCGAAAAAGGAAGGAGACTTTTTTTTGCAAACAACCTAACCTAACTCGGCATGATATATAATATGAGGAAGAAAAATATTCTTTCTGCATAAGAAGGGAGACTAATTTTTCTAAACAATCTAACCTAGCTCGACCTAATATATAGATAATATATATGAAGAAGGAGAATATTCTTTCTGCATAAGAGAGGATACTACTTTTCATTAACAATTTTGTATTTATACTGTATTTAACCAATAAGAATTCACAAAATTTCAATAAGTAAATAGATCTCGGAGCAGTACCTGTTTAAGAATTTGTTTATCTATACCTGCCTTAATCCTTGTACATATCTGATTCACCATATATGTATCGACCTGTAACTCAAGTATTTCTGGAATGTTCAAAATTTGAAAAACCGTATAAATTAATTGTCAACGATATTTTTCACGTGTTATAAAAGCTTACCCAATGACATCAGGAAAGAATATTTGTGGTCACACTGTATACTCTTGACAATAATTTTCAAGTATAAGAATCACGAATTTACGATAAAGGTCAAATTTTCTGAAAATGTACAACGAGGATTTTTTTGGGTAGTGCGTTACGATTTATAGGTGAACAGGGTGAACCAATACTGTGGGAGAGTGAGATAACGGCTTTGCTGATTGAGATCGATAAACAAGAAATTTTGAGATGGTGTACATTTATAAAATATTTTGCGTTATACAGGGCGATTCTGAAATGAGTGGCGTATCAAAGTTATACTTTTTCTCATGGGACACCCTGATGTGAAAATGCATTGAAATTGAAATCGTCCGCCATCTTATGGGACGCCATCTTGAATTCTCAAATGCGACTCAAAATGCGTATTTTTCAACCACGATTTTTTGACAAATTGATAAGGAAATGACAAAATCGTTTGAATTTGAATATTCAACTCGGAATTCTGATATCTCAAACTTTAAACACCCATAGTTTTCATTTGGGGCATTTTGGGGCGAATCTGAAATCCTCAAATACAATTCAAAATTCGTATTTATCGGGATATTAACGAACCAAGACAAATCCTGATTTGACCTTCCAAACGGAATGAACGAAATAAGTATATCAATTTTAAAATTTTCACTCAAAATTCGTATTGTTCAACCTCGAAAATTTTGTGCTGAACATTTTCAGGCGAATCGACAGAAAAATAAAAACATCGGATTTCTGTACTATTTACGTGTATTTCCACTTCACCTATTGCACCTCAAAAAATATCTTCATTTCATGTAGATTTAACGAGATATGTTATGTTATATACAGGAATGTTATAGTTTCCGGATCAGTTTCTTATGCCATAGGTTTCCAATGAGATCTTCACATCGTAGGTCACGGTTGATGATTTATTTCTTCTATGTTAATCACCATCGGGGATGCCTTTCTAGTACTTCTTCAGTCAGAACGGTTTTCGTGAACTTTGTTTTTGTGGTGAATTGAAATTTCCAAAAAACAGCTTTATTTTTATTGGAACACATAATTGAGTGATAGTCCATTACATTTCGGTGGCAGTCCGTGGCAGTCCGGTGGCAGTCCGTGGCAGTCCGGTGGCAGTCCGTGGCAGTCCGGTGGCAGTCTTGGCAGTCCGAGTATGGATGGCAGTCCGGTGTACACGAATTTGCTCAGTGATTTACCCCTCGAATTCAATTCATAGTGTGCTCAATTGAACTGCTTTATTGATATTTATGCCTGACATATATTTTTAAGCAGAATTTCAGACATTCAAGAAATTCCCTACTGGGTACCTACCAAATTTAAAAAGCAAATGGAGCCCTATAAAAAAGTCTGAATTATTTCATCCTTATGATAAATAGATATTTGAGCACTTATAATGATCAGATACATGCTCTTGTCTCATTTTGAATCAATTCAATATGGCAAGCACCTACAAATATTCATTGATTCAATACAATTTGGTATCACAACACCCTGTATCCTGTATATGATTCATAGACACAGATATAGGTATAGACAATTTTCTGTTAATCAAATCTTAGTAGATTTTTATTTAATCCACAAAATGTGGCCAGTTGAGTTGAGAAAATTGAATTGGTTTCATGATTCTATTAAAAAATAATTGTTATTATTCCTATATTCATTGTTGAGTTTTTATCCCTCTTACCACAAGATAGTTAAGGACCAAAAATGATTATATTTATGACTGAAATATATTTTTAAGCAGAATTTCAGACATTCCAAAATTCCCAACTACTGGGTACCTACCAAATTTAAAAAGCAAATGGAGCCCTATATTTTTATATCATTGAGTCAATTGTGAAAAAAGTCTGAATTTCTTCACCCTTATGATAAAAAGATATTTGAGCACTTAAAATGATCAGATACATGCTCCTGTCTCATTTTAAATCAATTCAATATGGCAACTGCAGGGCCGGCTCAACAGATTTGTCTGCTAGTGTGCAAATCCCAGAGTAGCGCCCCTATTGGAGTTTATTAATTAACAAACTGAAAGATGATGCAATAAAATCGAACTATTTGATGTTTTCTTCAGTTTTATTTCCAAAAAAGAATACGTATATGTATAATGAAAATTCCATTTAACAAATCATTAACATAATAAGTTAAAATAAAAATAAATTCTGAAATAAACATCCAGAGCCGAGAACGAACTCTAGAAATAAATTCATATTTCATCAACAGAGAGTATTAAGGTGAGTTATAGGTAATTTAATGAACACACAAGGAGAAATATTGCAATTCACAAAAATGGCACTTTACGGGCTTTCTGAGTAGCAAAATCTCTAATTAAATCGCTTATATATCCAAAGTATCTAATAAGTTTGATTCTATTGATGTAATTGCTAAACTAAACAATCTTTCTTGGGACTTTGTCGACCTCAAATGACTTTTTATTATCGTCAATTTCTAAAAAGATCTTTCTCCTGTTGCAACAGATATACTGGCAGTGTTAGGAAAATTCTCAAAGCTACCGTGAAATTTGGAAACAAATTTTTAGATTTTCTCTCTTATAATTCATAGAATTCATGATTAAATTGACTATATAGTATATACGTAAATGAAATATTTCCAGTCACTATACTTACCATTTTATATTTCCACTCCTAGTTTTTAATTTTTTTTCTTCTTCAATGAATCACAAACACTGGAGACCATAAAACGAACTCCAATATACCACCCCACTCAAACCCCTACATCAAATTATCTATGTGTGAAAAAAACGCCGACTATGAATAAAAATAACCTCGTGCCGCTGGGCGCCCTGGGCGGCTTTCAAAAGGCGAATTGCGAACAGTAATCTTTGGAACTCATTGTTTGCCGCCACCGGCTTCCTGTAAAGTGAGCAAAAATATTAGGCCAATTAGTAACTGCATCAAACGCATTATGGAATCGTGCGCGTGCCGACAAAGGATTTCACGAAAAAAAAAAAAACAACTGATGGAAAGTATTATCATGTATTATCACAGTTAAAAGAATACAAATATATTTGTATTCTTTCAACTGTGGTATTATATATTCCGTACTTTGTTTGTTACGCTCCTGTCCCGACCCCCTTTGCCTTTCGGCGGCATGTTTCGATGTTTGGAATGTAGCTAGTCAATTTTTCAATGAATATTTTGATTTGAATGTAGGAATTTTTCTATCGTTTTCCCTTACGTTTGGCGCCCCTTTCTGGCCTGATGGTGTGCTGTGCACACCTCGCACACCCGCTAGAGCCGGCCCTATTGGCAAGCACATGTAAATATTTATTGATTCAAAAAAAGTTGGTATCACCCTGTATATGATTCATAGACACAGATATAGGTATAGAAAATTTCTTAGTAAATTTTTTTTTAATCCACAAAATGTGTCTAGTTGAGTTGAGAAAAATGGATGGGATTCATGATTGTATTAAAATAATAATTGTTATTATTCCAATATTTATTGTTGAGATTTTATCCCTCCTACCCCAAGATATTTAAGGACCAAAAATGAAACTGGCAAAAATTTTAGACTAAATATATTTTTTTGAATTTCCTCTCCTTCCATATATGAACATTTTAGCATAATTTCAATACAGCCTGTCTCACTTTGAATGCCCCCCC